CTCTTTCATAATCTGAAAACCGAGAATCTGTACGTCATTTTCTTCGAAAATTTATTCAAAAAACCATCTGTGATCTTTGTATTTTAAAACGGATAGTAGTCTCATGAATAACTCACTCGAATCAAATCGTCGCTGAACTGTCAAATTGGATAATATTAAAAACAGAAATTCAACTTAATGTTCAATTAATTTTTTCTAGTTTGTGGAGAGCATCATCGTCGTCTATTACGTAATATATTTAAAGAACGTCAATATCTTATGCATGATCGTCCAGTAGAAAACGACAATGATACCGTAAATGTGACAATAAACTTAGCTCTACAACAAATCATTGATTTGGTATGTTATCATAGAATATTGGTTATTTGTTTTTGTAATTAAACAAAGGTGGTTGGAAGCTACATTTCAAGTCAAATTATGTATAATGTTGTGTGCTTTAGGACGAGAAAAATGAAATAATATCTATCAGTGGTTGGATGGTTGTGGTATACGACAGTAGTACTCTACTAAAATATTTCTTGTGTAGCTACTTTGTCTTTTTTCTTTTAGACATGGAACGCTTATAACTTAAAATGGATACCAGAAGAATATGGTAATATAACAACAATTAATTTACCGAGCACAAGAATTTGGACACCCGATATCTTACTGTACAACAGGTACAAAATAATTTTTATTTGTTAAAACTAGACACGTACTGATTTTGATTAAGGGTCCCCGCCTCTTTTTTGTGAAAATTTCAGATGTTGAGCTGAGCATAGCCTAATGTAGAGGAAAGTGTAGGCTACAAAATAAGACCACTCCCAGTACTCCACGACCTTTTTTCAAAAAGTTATGGATTTTTGAAGTTTTTCCCTCAAAACCTAAAAAAAAACAATTTATTAACTAGCTTTTTTCAAAAACCTAGTTTTCTGGAAAACTTATGAACGGCAATAGTTGAAAACTTGAAACAAAAACAAAGAAGTGTTCCACTGAGTTTCCAATCAGTTCTGAAAATACGAACCCCTAGCGATGTTTAGTTTTTATTTCACAGCATTTCTACGAAATGCCCAAAAAGAGGGGAAGGGCAATCTTAACTGACACCGATCATAACTGCAAGCGATTCATTTATCATCGGTTTAAATTTTTCTATAACGAAAAAATAGAAAACTTCTGAAATCAATTAAAGTCGACTTGCATAGTTATTTTACTTGTATATTCAGTTTTTGTATTTCTGATGTACGATTTTAACTGAAACTGTTACATATTTCGTTAGCACGCGGTTTACCAGACAGTAAACAATAACTGGCAAAATCCGAGTTAAAAAGTTTTCTTCTTTTCAATCTCAATCAGTTCTGCATTCATCAACACTTTTTCTCAATGGAAGGTAGTTTTCGTTTAAAGGCTTTTTATTTGAATCGAATGCCATTGAAGTTTTCTCAGAGATACATACAAGACTTTTTTCTTCATCTCGCACATGTACTTTAAGCGTACGTATATGGAGGCAAAAATTGGTCATATCCGGGTGTCCCAGTGGATGCACTCGTGACAAAGAACTTCACCAGCATAATAAAGCCAACACTTGCTTTTTCTATTTGGCATTGGCAACAGATAATTGTGTTCCATTATGTTAATTTCATACATGATTCGAGTCGGCTTTTGCAACTTCTTTTTTTTCAGATTAAGGTTGATTAGAAAATCTCATTTTGGATGTTAGAAGATAGAGAATTTTGCGTAAATTTTAGCCATATGTTTCTTTTGAAATAAATATTTATCAGTAATCCAAGGACTGAAAACCATAAAATGCTAAGTTACTTAACTGAACGATTAGAAAGTTTTCGAAACAAATTTTTGTTCGATTAGACAAGTATAAAAGTTTAGTTTTAGTAATAAAAGATGCAGAAATTCTCGGGGTATATGATGGTATATTCGCTCCTATATGCATGTTTGTTCCTGCTTTCTAATATTCAAAACATTAAAAATCATCTTCGATCAATGTGATGATACTTCATTATGGCGGTTTTGCGAAAACTTCCAAGGACACGTCTGTTCTGCGAAGGAGAAAAGAAGCTCGAAGTTTATTTTTATAGAAAGAATCCTAGGAGAAAATGGACCTCAGGAAATGTTGGTGTATACATAGTCTTAATTTCTTGTTAAGAATAGACAAGAATGTTGGTAGGTAAGGCTTAGAAATGCAGCGTGGTAGTGTTCTTGCCAGATTGTTTGCTGCTTTCAAACATTTCTCATTTTTTCCCCACATTTCCTATCTATGCGGGAAATCCTTCCTATTATTACTTTCCTCTTCCTTTTTATTTTCTCTCATACTTTTGTGAAAACTTCCTAGGACTTGTCCGTTTTCCGAAGGGAAAGGAAGTTTGAAGTATAAAGTTTATATACGAGGATTTTTGTAGTTTATAGGGTTTTCTTTTTTGTCAGTAGCTGAAACTTTCGGAATGAAATTGTAATTGATCAAATTTCAATGCAATTCATGAATTGACTATCTTTGATAATAAATGACAAAGTTGTGAGTGATATTTTCTTACAGCATCAAAGGTGCCAAAAGAGGCTTATTTTGTAGCCGATTTCTACGACCGTCAAACATCGTTCTGAAACTTGGTTTTGCACCTAAACTATCAAGATTTAGTTTTAGTTTTTAATATTGTGTTTGACTCGAGCAGCAAAACTATTATGACCACTAAAAATTATACTTGATTCTACGTCAAGCTCTGAGCAACTCAGCTTTTTACGACTTTCAGTATTTCTAATGCTGTAGAAAAATAGCAAATATTTCAAAAGGAACATAGAACCAAAATCTACGCAAAATTCTCTATCTTCTAACATCCAAAGGAAATTTTTTATACATAAAATTATTAATACTGGATATTTTTATTATCCAGTATTGACACATTGTGATTAGGTATGCACCAGTTGCCGTTTTTTACTAGTTAACTGTAACTGCTCATAACTGTAGGCAGATATTCTAGAGTGAGTTATTCTTCTACGATTTTCACACATTTTAAGAACAGAGACATCCTTAAAATGTACGCAAATCGTAGAAGACTAACTCACTCTACAATGTTTGCCTACAGTTACGACAGTTACAGTTTTACAGTTACCTGTATGCATGCCTAATTGTGATGAATCTGAGTTTTATGAAGGTTCTTTTATTTAATGTGAGAAGATCACAGTAATAAAACTCAAAATAATACAGAACTGTAACGTTTAAATATAGAACCAACAAAGTTCACACATCAAATACGTTGTCTTGAGCATAGCTACGCTATTCATGTTAACGGTTAAAGGATCATTGTAAGCGGTCTCTATAGATCTTTTACATCTACTGAATCATCCAGCCTATTTTCAGGGCATAGAAAGACTGTTTATAAGTAGTTAACAAGCAAAAATCATGTAAAAATAAATACATCAGGAGATTGTATATTGATTTTTTTCAAGGCATAACTTTTAACCCTGTCTGTTTCTTCTAGTGCGGATGATAATTTTGATGCAACATTAAAAACGAATTTAATTGTTCAACATACGGGAAAAATTCTCTTTGTTCCTCCCGGACTATTTAAAGCCACATGTTCTGTAGATATTACACATTTCCCATTTGGTAAGAAGAAAGATATCTAATGGAGAAACGTACAAGATGTATTTTAATGTTTGTAGACACGCAGAATTGTTCACTAAAATTTGGTTCATGGACATTCAACGAATATAGTAAGAAAACATCTGTTTCAGATCATACTATAGATAGGGCGGTAATTGCTTTGATCTCGTAAAAATTGCAGAATGGATCCCGTATACTAAAATTTCTACAAAAAAAAGTAGAAATGATTCCAGATTTAGAAAAAAATATTCTCGACAGAATTGATCCCAGAAAATTTGTTTCGTTCTGTGAACGAGAGAATTGATCCTAGTTGTCGTGTGTAGCGGTCACATAAGATCCCCTTCCCCAAAGCTCGTCGCTGATTTCTATATACATTTTTAACACTTATGTTTTATTACAGTTAAATGGAGTCTCCGATACTTCAAACTTTGTTAGTGGTAATTCCGGCATGGCACTTGTTAAATCTGCAGCGCCGTCCGCCATAACGTGCGATATAGCATATTGTTGATTTTTGCAGACAGCTTGAGTTTTGACAAAACTTAATAAATCAGTTTTGTTTGCACACTTAAAAACTGATAGCCATGTCTTGTGAGCCATAGTTCGTTTAATAATGATAAAAATAGTCAAAAAATGATGTAAGTGAAAAAAGTGTGAAAAAAGATGTGACCGCTACACATTGCTATTGCTTATGTCTGACGCCATCTTTACATTCGCACCACACGTCAACCGGGATCAATTCTGTCATTCGCAGACAGAAACAAGTTTTCCAGGATCAATTCTGCACAATAAATATAAAAATTAGTTCATTCCGGGATAAATTCTGTCGAAGATATTTTTTTTCTAAATTCGGATCATTTCTACTATTTTTATCTAAATTTCAGTATACGGGATCCTTTCTGCTTTTTTCGCTATAGATAATCCTTATCTCACTCTATCTAACGAGGGAACATTTCCAGCTGTCAAACCCCGATTTCTTTCAAACATACATCAACCGATAGCCTATATCGAGATAGTAAAAAGCCTAAAAGGATTTATCCCCATGGCTCTTGAAGAGGCTCTTGAAGAGAAGAAGAAAGATATCTAATGGAGAACCGTACCAGATGTATTTTAATGTTCGTAGACACGCAGAATTGTTCACTAAAATTTGGTTCATGGACATTTCAGGACAAAAGCCCTAAACTGATTTCGTCTTATTTCTGTAGCTTTGAGCTGACAATGAACAATTTAAGGCTTTTCTTATAAATTCTCTAAATTTGCAAAGAAAGGTCGTGTAGAGCTGGGAGACGTCTCATTTTAATCAAAGGCTACAATCATGCCTTATTAAGAAACGTTTTGGTTATTTTTTTAGAGTTTCTGAAAAAGTGGTTTTCCAGAAAACCGGGCCTTCAAGAGCCATGGGGATAAATCCTTTTAGGCTTTTTACTATCTCGATATAGGCTATCGATTGATGTATGTTTGAAAGAAATCGGGGTTGGACAGCTGGGAATGTTCCCTCGCAAAAGAATTTAATGTTGTTTAGGTTTAAATTTAACACCTGAAAATAATCGTGGTCAATTAGATGCTTATATGGAAAATGCTGAATGGCATTTGATTGGTAAAAGAATTTTTAATCCCATTACATATTACTGTTTCAATTTCTTTTAAAGGTTTTTATGCTGTTCGAAAAGCAACAAAATACGACTGTTGTCAAGAAAAATTTCCCTATGTATTATTTACAATTGAAATTCGTCGTCGAACACTCTATTATATTATTAATATTGTTGTACCATGTATTATGCTATCATTTATGACAATACTTGGATTTATGCTACCACCAGATTCAGGAGAAACTTTAACTTTACGTTAGTAAAACTACAAGAGTTAATGAAGAAATTGTCATCTCGATTACTTGATGAGATACGCAGTTCGAAAGTGGAAATACAAGGGGAAAACTGCGGACTTTAAAGTCCTCTCAGATCTTTTGAATCCCACAAAGTTCGCCGACTTGAGCGGACTTTGTGGACTTTAAAGTCCGGTAAAGTAGAATATAGGTAGAATATAGTATCTGTGAAAAATATAAAAGCTGTGTGAAAATCAATGCTAGATTCTTCAGAAGTGGGCAAGTCCTAGTCCGGACTGATAACCTTTTTTTTAACTGGACTGGGATCATGGAGGTGGGACTTCCAGGAAGAAAGTCGCATTTTTTCAAAAGAAGAAAGTTGGTGAGCAAACCGAAAAGTCAAAGCCTTCTGCTGGTGAAAAAAAAGTTGTTTTTTTCTTTAGGAGAAAAATCAGTTTCCAGGGAGACATTCTCCCAAAATGTCAGAAGGGGGATTACTCTCTCCCCCTAATCAAAAGCTACGGCTGTGAGTGATTATTCGCAGGCGTGACTGATTTTTCAGATCAGTCCTTCAACGTTTCAGTTTTACTGTAGAGAAAAGTCTTTGATATTTAAAGAAAAAGTGCCATTTCGGTAAAAAGATACAAGACAAAACATGTAATCATCGGATCGAATGGGAAAACATTTCTGGCTCGTACTGATGTTTATAGGACTGAGACTAGGCTGGGACTGGAAAGCAGCGGACTTGCCAATCTCTGAGATTCTTGATGATCTCATTGAATGGTTTTATCAAAAGATCGAGCGGGCACTGAAAAGCATTTCGCCTAAGACAACATCTATTCTTTTTACTTATTTTTCTTATAGAAATCACCACTTTACTTTCCATTGTTATGTTCTCATTGTTAATATCAGGAATTATTCCAGCAAGTTCAACTGCCGTGCCAACTATTGGTAAGATATACATAGATGCAAAAGCTAACAAATTTTTCTCAAGTGTATGCGTCTTTTTCCAAGATATGTAAAGTAGAGGACAAAAGTTTAGAGCCCCTTTTGTTTTTGAATTTTCTCGTGAACTAAAATAGCTAGAATAAATCCGAGAACAGATTTATGTAGAGAACACCTTGAAGTATCTAAGCATGTAAGAAGAAAAATTTTCATTTAACTTTAGCAGGTTTAAAAAAGATGAAATTTTAAAAATTTAAAAGTCTTAAATTTTCAACTTTTTTAACGTCAGTTCAAAGTCACTTTCGATCATTCAGCAAAATAGAGCAGACTTTTCTCGTCAAAATGTGAGGTTGTACGACTCAGTACGATCTTTCTTCAATGAGTTATGAATTTTTCTCAGAAAGCACCATATCTAAAAGTCCTAGCAAATCGTTAAAAAAGTGCATTTTTCAGTACGAGAAAAATTCATAACTCATTGAAGAAAGATCGTACTGAGTCGTA